CCCCAAAACCCCAAAACCCCAAAACCCCAAAACCCCTTGGCAAACAAAACCGTTGAATATATTATTTCTAATCAAAGAGTTGTCTTTGGAGTTCAGAAATATATTCTTCTTTCTCTTGCAACACCTTTCTCTTTTGCTGAAGCTTTCTGACATCAGACTGTCTGCTCTTGCTGTCTAGTTGTCTGTTAATATCTGCCAGCTCTCTTTTAAGCGACTCTACCTCTCTCTCATTTACCTCTTCATCGAAAGTTGTGAAAGCAGCATCTCCCATGGAGAGCCTGTCTTGGAGTCTAACCTTTTCAGCCTCGATATCATCGATGATCCTTTCCTGCTCCCTGATCTTTCTTTCCTTTCTGTCAATGTCTCTGTCAAGGTTAGGGTCTCTTCCAGTGGAGATTCCGGTTCTACTTCTATCTGATTCGGACTCCTTAATTTTTCTTTGTAGTTCAGAGATATCCTTGTTCAGACTGTAGGATAAATCATTCTTCCTTTTGTTCACTCTTCTCTTTTTAGCTGCTGATTCTTTCAAATCTGTCAAGGCATTGATTTCTTTAGATGTTCTTTCGATATTATCAAGTAAATCTTGGATTCTTTGATCTTCTCTACTTGAACCGACTGCCTCTAGGTCTAAGTCGATGGTCTGCACGTTGGAGGAAGCAGTCCTAAGAATGCCATTGTGTAGATCATTTCTTAACCTCAGATTGGTTTCAAGTCTTTTTACCATTCTGTCAAGTTGCTCAACCCTGGCATTATCACCGACTCTGCCTTCTAGACCTTTAATTTTCTCAAGGTTGGTTTTATACTGACGTTCTAGATCCCTCTTCTCTTTGACTAGTGTTTTGGAACTAGTTCCATGATCTTCCAGAGAGAGCTTAAATTCTCTGTCGTTTGAGATGAAATCTTTGAGTGTTTTGACCTCATTTTCAGTATCAATCTTCTTCTTCTTAAGCTCCATGTTGGCTTCAACCAATCTCAGATAATCTTGCTGGAGTTCCCTGAAATTTTGGTTTGAGATCTCTTTACTACCACTCACGCTGTTGATTCTGTTGTTGACTTCTTTAAAAAGAGTGTCAAATCTACGTCCGAGGCCTTTGCTTTCAGAAGCTGTGAGAGAAAGCTTGACCTTTCTCCTGAGAGCTTCAAGTTCTTTATATAATGTCTGGTTTTCATCCCTTACTTCCTGAATCTCTTTATCTTCTCTTCTTATATACCGATTAATGAGTCTTTTGGAGGTTGTTCTACCATGTTCATCTTCGATTATTTCTTCTTCAAGGATTTCTAAGTCATCTTCACTTCTTCCAAAGAACTTAAGGAGCCTTTCACGTGTCTCTTTGGCAAGGAGAAGATCTCTTTCTGTTTGAGTGAGTTCTTCTCTGATTCTGTCTACATCAGCTCTAAGAGCCTCAAGGTCACTTTCATCCATCCTGTAAACGTCTGAGTACTCCCTCTCGATCTCTGAAACTAAAGTTTGCTGCTCAGAAATATCTGTTGAAGACCCAAAAGTGTTTTCATATTGTTCCTTATTTTTAAATAGCCATTCAAGAATTTTTAGCCTATTTTCTGTGTCTTTAGCCAAATCATCATGCTTCGTGTCAAGTCCTGAAATAAGTCTTTTAAGGATCAACTTGAGGTTCTCTCTATGTTGAGGGGTATCAATTTGAACCCTAATATTCTTGGATGACCTAACTCTAGAGAATTTGCTTGGTCTGGTACCTCTGACTTCAAAAGTGTCTCTCCCAAGACCTCTGCCTACACTGCCATGACGAGTAGACCTGATTTCTTTGCCTTCTTTCTTGTAGATGGTTTGCTGGGTTCCATCTACTCTGATACCAGTGTCATAGATCTTCCTAGTCGGGCTCAAATATCCTTGATCTCTAACCAAAGTTGTTCTGGTTTCAATTGGTTCGACAGTTGATGTATATCTAGCTCCACTGGCTGCTCGAGAAGTTCTAGAAACGTAGTTAGGATCATCTGCATAGTGAGTAGATACTTTTTTGGAGGTTGCTGAACCTAGATATTCAGTCTGGGCTTGGTTGTCCACCTCTATACCGATTTCTACTCTAGGAAATTCTGTAGCATCTCTTCCCCAATCTTTGACATTAAGCTCGTTGTCTCCTAGAGGGCTAAGGTACACCAAATGCATGTACTCGCTTCCTTGTTGGGCACGCTTGACAAAGTCATATGTGAAAGAGGCAGTACCAAGGACCTTATTATCTGACAGCAATGAAGTCAGTTCAAGAGAGATCTTTTCAAATTCATTTCTTAAGTCAATTTTGAATGTGTTGTCTAAATCATCAGCCATGACTTCAGCAACAAGCTGATTCTTATGAAAGATGTTCAGGGCAACTTCATTATCAGAGTAATCATTCGTAGGCTCAATAGCGATCACTCTGAGAAAAACTGTGGTAAGAACAGGAGGCATATTTAATTGTTTTTCTTTGAATGAATTTTTTATTTGGGGTTTTGGGGTTTTGGGGTTTTGGGGTTTTGGGGTTTTGGGG